CCTAAACTCAACACTTCAAACGCAACCTGTCAAAAATGGAACTCATTATTTTCCTGGTGCTTTCTCCCTTTGGTCCCAGCATTCAACCAGGAGTCAAGTTAGAAAGATGGCTGTCATTTGCTATTTCTTTCTCTCCCTTAAGACCTAATGTAATTGATCACCAAATCTAAACAATTTTGTCTCCTGTCTCTCAGTTCCCACTGCTGTCCCCTTAGTTCAGACCCAGCCTCTCTCTTGTACTAGAAGAACAGCACCCCAACCAGCCTTGGGCCTCTGGCCAGACTTACTGCCATGTCCTCAGCTGTAGCCCAGCACCTAGTACTCCAACTGGCACACAGCTGGCATCATCAACTATCAGTTGAATAAATGGCCAAATAAAATGGGGAAGAAAAATAGAATATTAGAAATTCTGATATGACAGTAAAGTAGGCTTGACATTAATAGTCACCAAATTAATGAGACAAATATTAGAGATGAAACATCAAATGGGTAATGGAATTAAATAGTAAGGAATCCGAGGAATCGAAAAGAAGCAAATCATGTTGAACAAACATGAATTACGGTGAAAATGGTATCAGATACATTATATATTTGATAATTTGAAATATCTTTGTCACACTGTGTTATGAAAACATCCTTGTAAAACTGGGGCAAATAGACCTATCTGAATATTCACAGCATGAAAGGAGACACAAATAATGGAAATGGCAGGAAATATGCAAAGAGAAAATTCCAGGAAATTATTGCCTTTCTGTGTATAGATCTTTAAAACCTATTCAAGTCAACGTTTTAAGACTGAAAATTTTTATTCCTTGTGTTTCATTAGTCATGAAAGGGAGAAAATTCTCTGCCTCTCCCCCATTTTCCATTTTTGGCCTGAGATTATAGGACAAGACTTATCTAAAATATATGACTCTCTCATAAAAGTTGACTGACATGGAGATACTCACCCAAAGCCTATAGCCACCCAGTAGTTTCTGACCCCTTGATGGGGCCCCACCATAGGGAGAATGTCAGGAGAATAGGTGATAGGACCATTGACCACATTGATGATGTCAGCCTTTTTTAAGACTGGAACCATTTCCATGGCAATTTCGATGTGTTCCATGATTCGGTCTAGATCAGACTCAAAGAGCTCCTTTCCAAAACCTGAAAAGACATGCTACTGTGGTCAAGATGCCACGGCTGCCCTGACATGTGCTCTAAAGGGATTTAAATCTCTTAATCAGCTAACATTTAAAGATAGCCTGTTAGGAAAGTATTTTCTTTCTTTTTAAATCTAAACTTAATATTCACTATCAGTAGATGAATACCATTATACTACTATATTATATTCCTGAGAATAATAATGTTATTTCTTGAAACAATAAATCATGAAAGTTAACCTTTGTAGAAAATTTTAATTTATGCATATTAGCATTTAATACAACCACAATTTAAAAAAAACAAACAACAATAACTTGGTTTGTCAAGAGAGAGCTTTTAGGTGGGAGGGTATAGCTCAGTGATAGAGCGCATGCTTAGCATGCACAAGGTCCTGGGTTCAATCCCCAGTACCTCCACTAAAAAAAAATTAATAAATAAAAGAGAGAGCTTTTAGCCTTCAATTAACCATCAAAGTGCTCCATCCTCCCAGGTGAGGGCAATGGGAGTTTACAAAGTCATGTCAGGACCCTGGGGATAAGGATTAAACTACTCTAAGATTCTAGACACCTTTTAACTCTCAGGAGGGAAGGAATGGTATGCAGGCCTCATGCCTCAACCCCATCCCACACATATCTGAGGGCTAGAATGCTGGGAAAAGAGTCAGGGTCTTGGAAGACAATCGTCTTCTCAGCCATAATTGGCACTGGGATTGAAAGCAGGGCCACAGGGCAGCTTCTCAAAGGCCTCCACCCGTACTGGTGATGTTCCCACACGGCAGCCAGCTTCTCATTCTTCCTCTGGACTGTGGGTTGGGTCAGTGGCATGGAGGCCTGCAGATTCACCTAGACTAGGACATGTGGGTGCCCAGGGCCAGCCCACACTGAGGTTCTCCCTCCAACTGGAATTATTTAAATATTTCTTCAACATTTATTTGGAGGAAAGGCTGTCAGCGTCGGGGAGGGGCACAGAGGGAGGCTCCCAGGTGGCAGATCAGCTATCCTTTTGGGATCCGGAGCTGTTCCATGCAGGCCCAAACACATGCCGAGCCCACTCAGCAAAACCAAAGCCCTCAGCTCACTGGCCCAGCTCCTGCAGAAGGCGATTTAGCAATCAGTTGTAGTGACGGGGACCCAGGTGTTCTTTGAAGAGCAGGAGGGGGGAGTCATTCCCTAGCCCAACGAGCTTATCAAAGTGTAACTCTAGAAAGCACAGTTTCCTCCATTTCTTTATATTCCCTATAATAAGTGTGTCCCCATGACATTTTAACTTGTTTTATAGATTAAAACCTGAGATACTTCCCTAGGTGACCCAATCCTTCATCTGCCTCTGCAGAAATGTTTCATGAAAAACAAAAAAAGGTTCTTCTCTTCCTTACAGAACCTGAAGGCGTAACTATGGTACATCCTGTGTTAGCCTAGAGGCCTGAGGCTCCCTCACATCCACTGATGCAATCAGGGAGGGCTTCGGTTTAGAAGACCCACCTACCCTGCTCTGCTAGACACTTGGAAGCTTTCATTCTTACCAGTCTGGATGTCCTATCTCTGATACCTGTCGTGTTTCCAACTGTCAAAGCACAAAAGCAGCTATATCCAAATCTAGATACTAGACCAAGTAGGAGGGGGAGTGAGGGAAAAAGAGGAAGGCAGGAGGTCGGTGTGGGCAGGTAAAAATCACCTGGGGCCTCCCAAAGCAGCAGGGAGCATCTTTTATCAGCTTTTCCACCACCAACTCTCCTCCCTCACTCCCTGTGGTGATAGTTCAAAGGGATATGAGAACAGAATTCACCTCAAATTCCTCACATCCAATGTCCCAGGTATCTGATGGTCTAGTATTAATAGTGTCATCTTATTCTGCAGCCAGCCCAGAGCTACAGGGAGGACAAAATACATGTGTGAGACCTGCACACACTTCTGTTTGCTGAACCCACCTGGAGGGACTCCTTTGGTGACCCACGTGTCCTGAACTTTCATTTTCTCCTGACTTTCATACGGACCAAACAAAAGTCCATCCCTTTCCTGTCGGAGGTAAAACGATCCTTCCAGGTCACGGAGCACAGGGAGCTCTCGCTTTAAAGCTTTCACTTCAGGTATACTTGATGTAACAACATATTGATGCTGCACTGGAATGAGAGGATGTTCCAGGCCAATCATCTTGCCTACTTCACGAGCCCAAAATCCTGAAACAAAAAGTCATTTTGCAGTGCCACCACATATATAAATGTACCACATCTGACACTGATACAGTGATTTAAATTAAAAGAAAACATTTAGAAGACTTCAGTACTCATGGCAAAGTCCAAAGAATGTCATAACAACTTTAAATTTTTTTTGTCATTGTAAAACTGAATGGAGGAAGAGAAGACAAGACAATCTTTCACGCTACCCCAGAGTTTTGAAGACACTGTAATCTAAGGGAACTCCATTCCTGAAAAAGTATTTTGCCCAGAAGCAAAGGTGGGCAGAAAAAAAAAAATTATTTGAAGGGAAAAAATTTACAACCCAAATATATAAAATGTACAAATGTTGATAAGAAAGACAGTAATGGACTGACCTTACTTGCAGAACAGGGATGGTCAGGCAATGGAAGAGGCCCCGTGTTGATGTGACCAACATAATAATCATGCATAATAAAGCCCTGCTGGTCAGGCCCTCTACCCACCCCACTAAATTCTACAAATACAGAATTGTTCTGTTAACTCAAACTTCGAAATGTATATGCTTGGAGAGAGATAGCACATTAAGTTTTCTCTGTTATTTTAAAAATTTAGTTTGAGTATGTTAGTAAGATCCTTTCTTGCAAAGGCACAAAAGCCCTGGGAGTCCAGAGCAGGAGGGAGGAGATGTCACAGCAAAGTGGGGAGGGCTCACAAATGGGGGCAGGGGTCATTCCACAATCTATGCTTCATCCTTCACAGTGTTATGGGGACCGTGTTCTTGGCAGAAATAAGTGTTATTTTTTTACTTTGCAAAAGATGGAACCAGGTAGTTTGTGGCTAAAAGGACCCTTGATTCTCCCTGCTGGTCTTCAGTCTACAGAGGTGGAACTGAAGTCCAGCAAGAGAAAGAGATGGGCTCAAGTTTACACTGGAAGACCCTGGAATTGATATGTCTTATTGGCTTTCTTGCTACAGAAAAACTATTTTAAAAATCCAAGACTCCTTCACTTGTATAAAGATATTTGAAAATCTAAAATGATAAAAAATGATTATTTGGCAGGGATGTGGGGTCACCTGACCCATTAATGAATTATTTGGGGAGAAGGGATTCTACTTTCTTGTTTATTTCATAATAATTTTGAATAATCATTCAAATGACTAGAGAATCTTAAGTTATTTCTTTAGAGGTTGCATTCTCTAGATTTTTAACCATTTCTGTCTCTGCTTTTTTTTTTCAAACTAATAAGGAGTTCTGAAGTTTCTGTCATTATAAAGTTCAGCACTAGATGCAAATCATCAATTAAGAGCCTAGGACAAAAAAAAAAGCATAAATACAGAACAGAAATAGACTCATAGACATAGAATACAAACTTGTGGTTACCAAGGGGGTGGATGGTGGGAAGGGATAGATGGGATTTCAAAATTGTAGAATAGATAAACAAGATTACACTGTATAGCACAGGGAAATATGCACAAAATGTTATGGTAGCTCATAGAGAAAAAAATGTGACAATGAGTGTGTATATGTCCATGTATGACTGAAAAATTGTGCTGAACACTGGAATTTGACACAGCATTGTAAAATGATTATAAATCAATAAAAAATGTTAAAAAAAAAGAGCCTAGGAACCCAGATTATGTACTTTCATGTGCCATCTAAACATCACCCTTGTGTTTCTTGTGTTCTGTTGTTTTGTTTTGGTCTAACAGCTAAGTTGGTCACACTTGGATAACAGTCCCAGAAATGAGCACCCATTTGCAAACCAGAAATCTTGCCTGTGGGCATTAGGGCTGTTTGGTGGTCTTCTAATAAAGACTTAATTTATTCTTACTGGTAGGAATATGTCAATTACCAATGTCAGGACTTTGTAGGAAAACATGGTAAAGCCACATGTTCTAGTTATATGCACTGGCGCAGTTTTAAAATATAAATAGCCAAAATATTATGCCTAGCAATACAAATCACTGCAGTATCCTTCCTATATACGTTTCAATTAAAAACATAAATTGGAGAAAATAAATTTTGTCCTAGTCAAACATATTTATACATTTCTGAGCCTAATTGCCTGCTTATTAATGCATTTAATCATTAAAATAAAGTGGAAATGTACACATAAGTATCACATAACTATATTGTTCCAAACCCCATAGCTCTACACTGTTTTCCCCTATGATGGTGATGTTTGGCAGCATTCGCTTCCTCTATATGTCAAGCAAGTTAACTCAAATCTTGCCAGGACTACACTTCAACCCCTGCCAGATCACCCACCCTACTAAGTTCAAAGAGAAGAGGGACAAATGTGGAGGAATCCTCTATCATCTACTGTTATCACCTGAAAAACACTGAAAAGAAGAGTCAACAAAAGTGAGCACTGAAAATAGGTACTATTTTTTAAAATGCAGTGATTAATAGAAGTGGAGTTAAAATGAAGGGTGCAGAGACAATGATGGTTTATGCAGTGACATTCTCTGAAGCAAAGTATCGGCAAAGTTAAGCAATTGTTTTTGGCTGAACCCTGGGCTTCATGTTGGCATGACCCAATCACATTTCTGATTTTACTACATTAGGAAAATTCTTAAGTAAAGTTTACAAAGTTATCTCAGGCTTAATGAGTCAACTGAAAGTGAGGTCAAGAGAGACATTCATCACTGTGCAAAGGAAGAGCTTGCATCATAATAAATAGCTCCTGCCCTTGCCCCTGAGCTGCCCCTGATGGTAGGGGCAGAATGAAGGTAAAGTGAAACTGTGTTTAAGCAGTACTAAAGGTACATTAGCCTACTGCACACCAAGAAGGCAGCAGTACCAGAAACTGCTCCTCAGCTCTGTTTGCTCAAGAATAAGGTTCCTACATTCTCTCTCCTGTAGGAACACCTACATAGCAGTGTTTCTCAAAAGATATTTTATAGACCATCTGGTGCAGACAGTACAGTACCTGCAGTAATTATTTAAAATACAGCTTCCCAGCCAGCCACCTGGGAAACTTCCCACTGTGACTCTTAGGCACGTACACTGAAAACTGGGAAGTCAATTTACCAGCATAACGGATGCTGGATGTCTACACAGCAAGTGAAAGGAGCGGGGGAATCCTCAGGCTGGTACCAAGAAGCTGAGACATCTGATGCTAGTGTTTCCCAGACCAGGGCATAGACCTTCAAGAAAATAATTATAATAATCACAATAATTATCATCATTATTGTGCTTAATTTGTTTAGTGCTTTCTATGTGGTAAGACTTTTCTGGGTACTTTACATTATTAGCTCATTTACTGGTCATAATAACTCATTGAGATAGGAATTATTATCTCCGTCTTACAAATGAGTAATTTGCCCAGGTCACACCATCAGCAATAATGTGTTTCTGGTCAAAAGATCCCCACTGACCTGGACAGCGCTGGAGACACATCAGCAAACTGACAAATTTTTACTTTTAGACTTTCTTTTTCATGGATATCCTGAAGACTCAGCAGCCTTCTGTCATGACTCCACATAAAGAAACTTTTAGCAGGTTATGGTACAATTGAGTGGATACCAGCAACCTTCACATCTTTCATCTTTTGGTTATATTTTCAAGTCTATATCCTGGTTATTGTAATTAGGTTTCAGAGCTGCCTGAGGGGCTCAACAGAATTTGTGAGACAACTTGGTCTCACTGAGTAACTCTGGGGAACACTCCATCAGACACAAATTCCAAATTGTGTTAGCATGATGCAGTCTGCAGATGGTTGCTTCTATTCATAAAATTGTTGTTAGCTTTAATTCTAGAAGAGGCCATATCCAAAACTTCACCCCCAATTACTGAGGCTTACTTTTTAGGGAACTCCTAAGGTTTTTTTGAAAACAGACTTATAAATAAATAAACACATACCCTTCCACACCTTCCATGGACTACTAATATGTGATCAGTTAGATATTCTCCAATAACTTATGTCCAGTGGAAAAGAAGAGACGGAAGAGAAAAAGGAAAAAAAGATATGGGCCAGAGATATGATCTGAATGCAGAAAGAACTGAGAATTGAGACAGCCCAGTTCTTTTTTTTTTAACATTTTTATTGATTTATAATCATTTTACAATGTTGTGTGAGACAGCCCAGTTCTTTACACAGCTTTGAATAAGGAGCTGCCTGGAGTTATTGAGACCCAAAGACAGGAACTCGGACGTGGCTGAGTTAAAGGCATCACAAGCAAAGAATGAAGCAGGACCTCCTGGTACTGTCCTCCCGTGCCCCAATCACCCCACGAGATTACACAGCTGCACAGAACACTTCATCTGGTAACCAGTGTACTGGATTTAGGTCAGATCTCTTTGGAAATCATTTTTTCTCTCCAGGGATTCCTTATTCCTCACAGATTATGGTTTGAGGGGAAAAATGTATTACAATGGCAATGTATTGTACAAATAAATATTTATCCATTTTAGGAAAACAATAAATAAATGTGTTAAATTAAGGTCTTCTATGTTATTTCTCCAAATATCAGTTGGGAGTGTGTAGCTACCCAAAGCACTGTGTCAACAAAAATGTAGGATTTGTCCAAGACTCTCTGAAATGAGTGCAGTGATCAATTAGCAATGTCTGCCATGGCTGCTGGATATGAAGTCAGGGCATGTTTCTTTCGTATTTACTATCACTGTGAAAACTGTCAAATGTTTTTAGAGGCTGAATTCATAAGGCCATAAAGAAAGTTGCAAGAATACAAAGAAATCTTACTACTTGGAAAAACAGGATGAATGATTTCGTTGCCTTAGGTCTTCTAGCAGAATTGAGACTTGGGTGCCCAAGGACAGTAGGGAGTAATTGATGGGGATTCCCTTGGGGTGGGGGGACAACTAAAGTTCAAAAACAAAGCAATGTTTTATGCCCTTTTATTTTTTAGGTAAGTCATTTTACATTATTTTGAATTTCAAATTATATAAAAGAAGGCAAAGATTTTTATGGTTTTTAAATGTGGGTCATGGGTTAGAAAGATTCAGAAATATTAACTTAAACTCTTAAATACTGAAGACATATGACTTTTTCCAGGACCATTAAAAATGCTTTGTTAAAAAAAAATAACACCAATCAGAAGTTATGATTTAGAAGAAAGAATCTTAAGGGTACATGTTTCTGCCATGTCCTCATAGCATATCATCTGATTTTATAAATAATAAAGACGGTTTTTATTTTATAAATTTAAGCAATGACTCAAAAAGCAGACCACGAGAAAGTTAGTAGCTGCCTCATATTTATTTTAGGCTCTAAATTGACCATTACAAACTGTAGATAAATATAAATTATTAGGCCAATTTAGACTATGCAAGCATTTTCATTTGCACAAAATTTATTTTTTATGTGTGATATTTGAAAATTATTTCACAGGCAAAATGACCTGTTAGAAAGTGTGTTAACTCAAGGATCAAAAGACCCAGATCCAAGTCCTGGCTCTGACATAACTGTCATTTTGCCAAGTAGCAGAACCTTTTTGGACATTGGTCTCCACAAACGGAAAATGAGTGAGTTGTTAGATTCTCTCAAATATCTCTTTTGCCTCCACTACTCTGAGTCTAAATTGTAACAGAACAACCCAAAGAAAAGATTATGAAATATGTTTAAAAATGTACTGAAAGGAAAAGGATTAAAAAGTTTTTTGAATAGAGTCAAGTAATCAAAATGGATAAGAAAGAACACAAATGATCAAATCTGCTCTAAAAAGCAAATTGAGAGCAAAGAGGTTGCTCATGAATTTGAACATTAGAATTTGGTTATTATTGAAACAGTGAACATAGGAAAGAAAAAGCAGCATAATTTGGCAAAACATGATCTGGAGCAGAATAAAATGTCTCACAGAGAACAATACCAACTTGCTATGGAAAACCAAGGACAGAGTCGTATCTCACACACCAAGAGCAAAGTGATAGAGGGAGAGCTCTGTAGCTTAGAAACAGACAAAATGTTCACCAGGGGAGCATCACAGTGTTTCATAACAACATTCATAGTATAAGACATTACTTCATGCCTAGATATCTTATTTCTTTGCTACTAGGAAAAGAACTCACTACTTAAAGAAAATATGACACTTACCTGCAGCATTCACAATTCTATTGGCTCTCACAGATCCCTGTAGTGTTTCAACATCCCATGTTCCATCTGACCTGGGTTTCAAAGAAGTCACCGGGGCAGGATATTTTAAAAGGGCACCATATTTCCTAGCCCCAGCAGCCAGGGCCATAGTTAGAGAGTAAGGATCAATGTGACCGTCTCCAGGATTATACAGTCCAGCTAAAATCTAAATTGATCATAAAGGAGGCAATATTCAAATGAATGAATATATATCCATTCAGTGTAAATATATCCTTCCAGCAAATGTTTAATAAAACTGGACTTTAAAAATGCATCATGGCATCAGATTGCTGAGTCTCCTCTGTTTTCCCCCCCATCTCCAAGCTCAGACCTAGGCAGGACTCACACTGAGAGTTAAGTAGACAGGCTATTTGAAAGAGGCTTGCAATTATCTCCAATATCCATTTTCCTCTCCCCAGCATAGCAATAGAAAACAAATATTTATTTAGACACATGACCACTAAGAACAAAAAGTTTCCAATAGTTGGCAACTATTAGTTCCACCTGATAGCTACAACTATTACTAAGTTCTGGTCAATGAAATGCAAATAAAAGTGTCACATGGCAGATTCCATGAACCATTTAGAAAAGACAATGGCATATGCCCTCTGCCCCTTCTTCTTTGTTCCTTCCTCCATCCTGCTGTCTGGAACGCAGACGTGATGGCTAGCACTCTAGCTGCCATCTTGAAATAAGAACAAAAGAGTCACACGCTACGAATAACAGAGCAATGATCCAGAAGGCCTGAAATCTTCATGGAAAAGAGTCCGCATTCAAGCCCTGGACTGCCTGAATGAAAGAAATAAACTTCTTTCTTGTTTAAGCATTACTATTTTAGTTTCTGAAATTTGCTGTTAAATTTAATGCTAGTTGATCAATTATTTATATTTAATTATTTAATATTATTAATAAATTCACATGTTAAGTATATATCTGGTGTCAAGAAAATGTATACTTGATTGAGTCATTCCACAACTAGTTCTTAAATAACCTACTTTGTGCATGGGCTTGAGGGTAGGCATTGTGGGGGAAACAAAGAATTAAACTCAGATGAAACAAGGAGTGAGCACTGAAGTAGTATAGTTCGGTCTCATCCAATACCAACCACGAGCAAGAGGCTTTTGCAAATTTTTTTCTGCATCTATTGGGATGATCATGTGTTTTTGTCCTTTACTCTAGTCATACGATGTATTACACTGATTGGTTTTCAGGTGTTAAACCAACCCTGCAGAACCAGGACAAATTCCACTTGGCTATGCTAAATAATACTCCTTATATGTGCTGAATTCAGTTTGCTAGTATTTTGTGGAGAATTTTTGCATCTACGTTCGTAAGATATACAGGTCTTTCTTTTCTCGTGATGTCTTTGTCAAGTTTTGGTAGCATAGCAATACATTCTGGCTTCCTAGAATAAATTGGGAAGGGTTCACTTCTCTTCTATTTTTGGAAGAATTTGTAAAGAATTATCTTAATTCTTTTTTAAATGTCTGGTAGTATTCACCACTGAAGGCATCTGGGCCCCAGCTTTTCTTTGTGGGAAGTTTTGGATAACTAATCCAATCTCTTATCATAGGTTTAGTGCAAGAGACTTTTGATTTTAATGGAATTTGCTATTTACTGTAGACTTCCAAATGTCACATTGGTGTTTTATAATGGATAAGTCCTCACACAGTGACCATGTGACTGCATGCAGTGACCATCTATTTGATTTGGCACCCTGCCTAGATCCAGAGAATACTCTTCTCACACATTTCATTGACTAATGTCCTTCAGAAAAATCTCTGATGGTGAGGACTTCCAGCAAAGCATTCCAAGGTTGACATACAAACAGATCTAAGAATACTCTACCTAGTAGTAGTGGCAGAATTTCAATGCAGACAATGCAATCCAACACCAATCGGCCACCATGCTGACATCACACAAAACTATAGACAAGGGAGGGCCAGTAGCCTGTAAAGACTCACCAGGGCAGACAAACCCAACTCCCAGATCAATGCGATGAACCCTCAGGGATCAGCGACACTGCAGGAGTCACCAGGGAGGAACACAAGCCTCTGTTTCCCTGAACAGCCCCACCTTGTACCCTTAGGTAGTACGTACAAAGGAGTCAGAGAGCCTGGCTTCAAATCTCTGCTCCAGCTCTTTCTAGCTGGATGTGCTTGGGCTCGCTATGTAACTGCAGCTTCCTGTTTAGTAATAATATACACCTTCTATTATGATTGTGAAGATTAAATGAGATTATACATGTAAAGGGCTTAGCATCACGCCTAGTACAGAAGCATGTGCTGTCCTGTGAGGTAGTGTAGTATTAGTCGTTGTTATTATTCAAATGGGATTATCACCCAGCAAAAAGACACTAAATTCCCAAGTGGATTTTTCCAGCCAGATTTGGTTAAAACTAGATCAATACCTGACATACAGCCTGTCAGGGTAGTACAGCCATGAGTCAGGTGACATTTGTGTAGCAATATAACATGTACTCTACCTTTGACTTCGTAAAAAACAATTTTAGTAACACAGGCCTTCTATTCACACATTTACTACACCAGGTTATTGTTTTCTCTGCATTTCTCAAACAGAAGGTTTGTGCATAGAAACCTCTAGATCTGGGGGATACAGTCACAGAGAAGTATTGAAAGTGTTTCCTCAGTTGTCATAGATAGAAAGCTAATAAGATTGTTCACTACCTTTATTTTATTTAGCATACATAATTACCCACCTTGTAATTTACCCAAATTTCAGCATGAATCATCTGATTTTGCCATTCAATACGTGTGCACAAAGTTTTTCTATTTTTAATTAAATTTTTAAATAACATTTTCTAATCTTAATTAAAGTCAACAAATGGTGAAAATGCCCTTAAGATAAATACCTTATTCATGTTGAGTAAAGGGAACATTTCTTGAATTTTTTCAGGTTCAATAATATACTGTTCTGTTGCATGCCAGCCAGTCCGAGTCATCTGATATTTAAATTCATCCACTCTTACAGGAGTTGTAGCAATTCTGATACTACCTGGCTGATGGAATCCCACCGCCTGTGATAATGATGCCAACAAAATAAATAAATCATTATTTGGCACTCAAACATGGTTCTTCTCCAGCACAAGAAAATGCAAATGTCAAGAAAAGAGATTTACTATGCAGTGAAGGAGGCAATTATATAACTTCTTTGCATAAAAAGACAAATTTATTCAGCAACTATTTACTAGATGCTTCTTCTATGCCAGTCACTATGCTAAGCCCCAGAGATGCTGGTGTGAACAAGAGAAGCAAAGACCCTGCCTGGATGGAGCTTATAGTCTGCAGATGAAGGCACACAGCTAAATGCATAATTACAGTAACATGAGACAGTGTTCACGCACAGACTGAAAGAAAATTATGTAGAAAAAAAAGAAAAACAAAGGATTTGAGGAGGGACGTGAAGAATCAGAATATTGTAGTGATGAAATTAAGTATGAATTGAAATAAACACTCATTTGGCAGGTATGGAAGTCCTTTAGTTTAGTTGGCCAAGCACTCAGCGAGGCCGTCGGGGACACAGATCAAAGATGCAGTCCTTGGATGGGAGGATATAGCTCAGAAGAGTGTGTGCTTAGCATGCACAGGGTCCTGGGTTCAATCCCCAATACCTCCATAAAAATAACTAAATGAATAAATGAATAAATAAACCTAATTATCTCCCTCCCCCCAAAATAAGATGCAGTCCTTCGCCTCAACTTGCCCATGGTTTGTAGGGAAGACCAATTAGTAAAGTAACAACCATGATTAAGAAAGATTTGTGTTATAAGAGGGTGTGCACACATGGTCTTAGAACCAAGAGATGTGCCCTCAGCACTGCCTGACCACTGGGTGGGGGAATCGAGGACAGCCTCTCAAAGGGGATGACCCTTAGGAAGGGTGGAGGGTGAATGCTGAAATGAGGGCCAGAGGGAATGCTGTTTCAGGCAGAGAGCCCAGTACATTCCAGAACTGTACATCATTAAGAAGAGCTGAAGCATCTGAGGAGGGCAAAGAGTGGCAAGAGAATATGTTGGAGAGGCAGGCAGGACGCAGCTGATGAAAGCCCTTCATCTTTGGCTACTGTCCTGTAGACTGTGAGGAGCCATGTGATGGTTTTAGGCAAGAGAAATAGCATGAAAAATTTAAGTAAGGGGGAGAGGATATAGCTCAATGGTAGAGCACATGCTTAGCCTGCATGAGGTCCTGGATTCAATCCCGAGTACCTCCATTAAAAAATAAATAAATAAACCTAATTACCCCCCCCAAAAAAAGGAAACCCAGAAAAGAGGAATTTAAAAAGTGTGCAAAATAAATTAGACAGCTCAAAAGATAAATAAACAAATATTTTTTTTAATTTAAGTAGACTTTAGTCTTAGTCTAGGAGTACTCCTTGCCTGCCACTTTGAGAGTCCCATTTTATATGAGAAGAGACAAAAATAAAAGTGAGGGGCTTTTGGTGAAGTATTTTTCAAAGCCATTTGACAATACGTCACGTACTTTTGTCAGATCCCTGGCAATCCAGTGCTGAAAGGCTCTGATTTCTTAGTGTCTAGATACAGCAGCTGACTAAAGATATTTTTGAAAGCTGCTTTTCATTCTCTTCTTCATTAAAAAAATCAAGAAAGCAGGTAATTACATAGGTAACACTTTAAGAAGTCAAATTGATTGTGAAGCAGTCTCCAGAGGTTCTTATCTTAAACGCTCATCAGAATCTCCACCACATTAAACACAACACGTGCCGTTGATGTCAGGGCACACAGCTCTACATGATGGTATCAAAATCCTTCAGAAATCTAACATATCTTTGAGAAACTGACCTAAAAGACAATTTCAAGTTAAATGTCTTTACCTGTCCAGTTTCTTCTTCCAGTTTCTCATAAAGTTTGATGCTATAATAATGTATTTTCTTCAAGTTTATTCCAGGATGAAAGTAAGTTGTTAAACCTGCCTTAAAAGTGGGGAGGAAAGGAAATATCGGGAAAAAAAAAGAGAACATTCTCAAAATGTTGATGGTTTATCTGTTAAGAAGTAATTTACTGCTGGCAAGAAACTGAGAATCATCAACCAGTCCTTTGGGATGTGAACACACATTGCATAAGGCTTGTGACAGTTCTAAAAACCCATTTGAACCATGTAAGTAATGTGAGAGCCAGGAAACAAACATAATATACATTAAGTCCCTAAAAGTTATTCAGGCAAGGGATGTTTGCAGATTCAGAAATGGGACAACAAGTGAAGAAACAGGATGACTTAAATGACTTTAGGAATATATGCCATTGGATAGAATACGAAGGGATGGTGTACAATGTGGACTCAAACTAGCAAAACAGTGTGTTCCTCTAAGGATAAGGACTTTGAACAAGCAAAGACTTTTCCTTCTCCCAGTCCCCACTATTTCCTTGAGTGGAGCAGCCCTCCTGTTCCCTTTCCTGAAATTTCCAAAATCCAAGAATTGGAAAATTGCTGGGAATTAGAACCTGGTGAATTGGTGAACAGACATTTGTCATAGTTTATAATCCATTTGATGAATGAGCATGTAGATTGTAACCCACAAATATTTGCTGAATAAATACTGAATAATCACTCTCAGGAAAATATCTAGCTTTTGTATGCCAAAACCCTTTTTATCAACTCTGGCAGATGCAATGTGGTATCCAGACAAAGAATTCTAAGCAATTATATGAAGCAGGTTCTCTCAGTCAAGTGTCTGGCCCCCTCATTCTGCAGCTAATTTATCCTGGAAAGCACATCTGAACACAATCTGTTTAAAATAAAATTGGTTTAGGAGTATTTATAAGGTTCCTCTGTGGTAGTGGTGGGCATTGGTGGGCAATTGGTTCTCCTGAACTTAAAAACACTCCCCTTAAAGTTCATCAGTCATCCTTTATGGACCAGAATCCTCAGCTGTGCATCAAGTGCTTGTGTAAGTATGTGGACATATGCATGGTTACTTTTTTGGAGAAAAATGCTGGCTCTCATTGCACAGCCCCATAACATGCAACTGTGAGTGGGGCTCCCTAACTTTCAGCCAAACATCCCATCCTTCTTTACATCTTGGTATCTAGTGTGATATGAACTTTTCTAGTTCAATAATAGAGACCCCCTGACCTTCAGGAGTCTCCTAGAGAACGTCCAATTTTGTCTTCCATCTATCTTGAGTCAGTTGAGAAAATCAATATTCACGAGCCCGGGCCCAGGGTTCTGTTCACCATCCACTCCTCAAGATCCTCAAGACTAACCGAGGTTAAGCCAGACTATCAGAATTGGAACAATCCTCTTCGTCCCCACCCTAGAAAGCTATTTTCATAGAATGAGATGATGATTTCTCATCTGAGAGGGTCACGTGGGTTTGTTTTTATAAAACTCTCATTCAAAACATTTAGCCCAACATCCTATTAATATCTCATGGTCTCTTGTCCATCAGCACTAAATTAAAATCATAAATCAATAAATATAGAAGGACCACTAAAGCCAGGTGAGCGGAACAGAGGTAAAGGTCTCAGGCCTGTATTCAGGATCACACAGCCACTATCCTTTGATACAAAAGCCAACATTTACTAAACACTTACCATAGTAACTCTACACATACTAATTTAATCTTCATCACAACCTTATAAGGTGGGTACTATTAATATTCCCATTTTACACATTGGGAAATGGAAACTTAAGTAACTTGCCAGAAGTCACATAAGTAGAAAATGACAGAGCTAGGATTTGAATCCAGAAGCCATATGTTCAAGATTATCTTCTTAAGATTATCAATATCATAAAAGTTGATCACCACACCCCCCCTTGAAGTACACCAACAGCAACACACTATGGAAAGGGGGCTCAGTCTAAAGAAGTCACAGTGGAAGCTATGAAAGGGAAAGAAATCAATTTCACTAGTGCATGATTCAGTGCACATAACAGTTTTGGGGTGTCTTTCTTACTGCGTGCCAGGTAGATCCAGCAGTGAGCTCCGATTTTTCCAGGAGGACCACATCTTTCATGCCGGCTTTGGCCAAGTGATAAGCCAGACTCACACCAACACAGCCACCTCCAATTATCACTGCTTCTGCTCTGTCTTTCCATTGTGTTTCTGCAGATAAGGGTGGGTTTCCCTCTCTGGAAGACATTTTTTTAATGGTAGCTTTACTAGGCTGTGATAGTTACAGTTTTTTTGTTTGTTTTCCTGACTAGTGCACTTCTCCTTACTTATTCCTCTAGTGCTTAACATCTAGTTCCTGTGAGATGTCCATGTACTGATTTAATCATTTGAGGAGCCTAAACTTAACTTAGGCAACCCAGTTGCGGGGGGAGGCATTTGAACCCCATTCCACGTAATCCCCACCCATTGTAAATAACTAATAGAGCTAAATAATTGTGAACAGATGACTTTCCTCAAATAATCTAGAGAATATTTTTCTTAGTTTACTTTAAGAGCACTTATAATCATAAAAAACCATACTCATCATGAAGTTCATTATCTATAATCTTGGATCACCTCCTCCCTCCAATGTGTCCCAGGCTGAAGAAAGCCAGATGGAATACGATGCTCTTCCTCGTGTAACTTCCTCTCACCGTGTACCTACTTCTCTAATTATAATTATTGCTCGGTGGCTTGATATGTTTATTTGTATAAGGGTCTTCCTAGCTAGATCATGAGCTTCTCCAAGACATACTGTAAAAATCAAGGTATAAGTAAACCACAGACCGTATATACACCTGTGTTTGCCTCCCCATAGACCATCTCCGGATAGATAACAGAAGACACTGCCAGCAGTCGACTGGGGAAGGGGGTTGGGATAGGAGAGTCTTGGCACCGGAAACCCTTTGACACTCTCACTCTGGACGGTTGGGCATGGAAAAGAAAACATAAGTAATTCAAGAAGAAACCCCAATGCCCATTTCTGGGGGTCTGAGGCGCTCCTAAGCTGGGGACCGCTTTGGCCCCGCTCTCGCACCCCGCAGCCGCCCAGCCGCAGGTCTCCGAGCAGACCCGGCCTCACTCACCCTTCGCGGCTGCAGACGGAGCGCGGGCGGCCGGGGGTGCCCCGCGGCGGGAAGCGGGGCAGCCGGAGGCCCCGCAGCCACTGCCCGCCTGAGCGGAACATGGCGAGACCCGGGCCAAGGGCGAGGGCCGGGCCCCTGCTCTGAGGGCAGCAGTCGGCCGCGGCGGTGCGAGCCTCCCCCCGGGCGAGGGGCGGGCTCCTGGCCCCGCGCGCTCCCCTCCACCCCGCGCCCGCACAGCCTTGGCGCGATGGCACCGCTCAGAGGCCCCGGCGCTGAGAAGGTGAGTTTGGGAGATTCCGAGAGTTACTCAGCCCTCCTGGCCGCGGGGCTCCAACTCTGACTCTAGCCAGCCTCTGCAGCCTGGGCGAGGCACCTGGACGGCTCTGAGCCTCGGTTTACCCGATCGCGAGTCGCGGGGACGACGGTACTGCCCAGGTGTTAGGATGAGATTACAATCTTGGGTAACATTTGTGGGGCCTTGACTCGGTGCCCGGCACTGCGCGAGTGCTTTACACAAATTATCTCTTCACGTTTATCCCCGTTTTACAAGGTGAGGAAACTGAGGCTCAGACGACTAGCTCAGGGTCACCGTTCTATAGTCCAAGTGGAGTGGGGATTTGAAATCTAGCCTTCAGACTCCGGCTGCTCTCACATCTTCTACAATCAGCCCACCCGCACCCACAGCCCATCTATTCAATGGCCCAAGAGCTGGTTCCCTTCATGTTTTGGGAAGTGGCCGTTGCCTGAGCCCCCAAACCTTGCACTGGCCTGAAACCTGTCCAGGAGCGGACACTCACAGGCAGGGTTGGAGAGTGGGATGCGAAGGGCACGGAGGAGGGTTTCACCTCATCTCATCAGGTACTCCCTGTCTCTCGGCTCCCCCTTCCCTATCTAGTTGCCAGCTGTCGCTTCGTCCCCCATTTCTACGCTGGTTGTGTGAGTGGTGGGGAGAAGGGGTGACAAAACAATTAGGAAGGACATGAACTAGTACACCTCCAAATTCCTCAAAGCAACCCATCTGTGCCTCCTAATGCAGAAGAAAGAGTGGGGAAGGAAGGGGCGATACAGACTCGGAAACGTGCACCACCATTTTATTTATACTAAAAAGTTAGGAAAAACCAAGATGCTCTACAGTCGTGGGCTCCCTAAATAAATCCAAGTTCATCCACTTAATAAGTTATTAGGCAACCAATTAAAAAGCTACATATGACAACAGGCAAAGTGCTTTGGCAATGTTAAGTTACAAAAGGAGATACGAATCATAATCACAGACTGATCCCAACTGTATAAAAATATTTATCCACACACTGTAAGGAAGGACACAATAATGGTAGTAGTTATATAAGATGTGGAATATAGGTTTAAAAAACAATGAAACAAAAAACCCCCACACATTTTGGACATGTTTTCTGATTTAAAAAGTAAAATATGGGCATTGAAGAAAAAGAACACAGTGCTGATTTCTTTAAACTTTCCCTAATATTATATTCATTTTTACCAGTTCTTTTTTTAAGGCTTTTTAAAAATATGCTGTCTCTGTTTTATTTCTTCCTGGCCTCTGTTCTTGGCAACACCAACATTATCACACAAAAATACAGGTTAATATGTACCTGGGTGTTAAAATGTGAGTGGGGTGGAGCTAATGTCACCACTCTTCTAAGCTAACAGGTGCATATTAAGAATTCATTTAGCTGCCACAGAGGACTCCTCCAATTGCTTCTTAAACCCAAAAAAGGAGTCCTGGTGGCAATTTCCCACAAATAGGGAGATATTTTAAACAGAATGGACCTCTGGCAGCTTCTTGCAACAGGGTAAAGTTGGTCTTCTCTGTGTATGAATAGAGGTGCCCTGAAGCCAGATCTTCAATCCAAGAGGTGTAGATACTGCTATCTACAAAAAGGGGGCATAAATACCTCTCAGAGCTCATGATCAGATCTGAGGCGGAGTCACTGCCAAACTGAAAGAGAGGGTAGAATGAAAATATGAAAATACTGCAAATAATTTACAGTGCTTTTTATTTTACAGTCCTCTGTCATTCTAGAACTGTCTATATTTTTTTATTTTTATTTTATAAATTTTATAATTTTATTTTAATTGTCTGTATTTTATGAATTTTATTTTTTTAACTTTTTGGGGGGAGGGGAGGAAATTAGTTTTTTTTTTTTTATTAACGAAGGTACTGAGGACTGAACCCAGGACCTCATGCATGCTAATGGCTGTTTAGAAAACTGGCAAAATTTAAAATGTCAGACAAACATCTAGATGACAGATCAAAATGTTTTACCTTTACTTGGCATCATGAGGGCACAGTCAAAATTTACACTATAATTGTCTTAAAACCCTAGCTAATTTTCTGTTAAAGAGTATCATTATTTTTCCTCCTCATCAGGACCAAACTTGTAGCATATGTGAGCTATGTGACATTTTCAAAACAGTCCTGTCTGCTAATTCGTGGCGTAGTTTATGAAGAGCCCGCTGTTAGGTGTTTATGAGGTGGTAGGGACAGAGATAAGATGTCACCTGAGCCTCAAGCATCTCACAGCCAAACGGAGGCAGCAGGTAAGTAACCAGGTGCTGCGGTACAGGTGATGGATGCAGGAACAGAGGTTGTATGAAGGTAAGCAGGATACAAAGGAGGATGTCATCACAGATAGGAGAAGGGCAGGCAAGGCGTTGCTCTGGCAGCAATGGAAGATAGTTTAGAGTAAGCTGGAGTGAACTAGAGAACATTTCAATCGTCCAGGGGGCAGTAAGGATGGGGGGACATATATGAGATGTGTTAAATGGATACATGTGGTGTAACCCTATGACAAATGGGATGTGGGAGGTGAGAAACTAACCCATAACACCCAAATTGTGGACCAGTGTTTTGTTTGATGTGTAAGATTAAATTTGATTCTTAACATGGTTAGCTTCATTGAAATGGGTTAGATTTTTCAAGACAAGATTTTATGCAGAGGACTACACCTCTGATTCTCTCTCCCCATGTCCCTCTGCAGCCTTTATTTATCATGCTGGGCCGTGATGACCTGTTGCTCTGATGGCCTTCCTCAGGGTAGCCAGGCTTGGAGCTTCTTGAGGGCAGGGACCAGGTCTTATTCCAGCATTTATCCCTCTTGCCTAGAACTAGACCTGGCATGTGGGAAGGTCTCAATGCAAAGTTGAAGTTTTAAGTCTTTTTTTTTTTGTTTCAAAAGCACAAAACAAAAAGAACAGATTTCATTTTATGTAAGGACTAGAGAGAGAGGTGAGAATCACAGAATATATTAACATTTCTTCTATATTCAGCTGAAATTCATCTTTAGATATAAAGTATAGAAAAAGAAACAGAGTCAGGAGCTCTCTCTGTCAGAAGAGTGTTTATGGCTAACACAGTACTAACATACTGCTCTCCACAGGAGAACAGAGATGTGCTGGGATGGTGGCCTGTGCTCAGTCTCAGTCCAGCTGCTTCTAATGTACCTTCCTGGGTGGCAGATGTGACTGGTTAGAAGGGGCAGTTGGAGCCTTTCCTCCCCCATTCATGCTCTGGTCTGTGGGTGCTGCTGTAGGCAGGGCTGAGATGAACTGTCCTGTATTTTCAATAAAAGGTTGTGTCTCAACTCTTGCCATCTACACCAGAAGGACAGGGATCCCCAGGGAGGGGTGTGGAGGGGTGTTTGCTGTTTTAATCAATCACAGGGAAGGCCTTTCTGAAAAAAATGACCCTTAAGCGAAGACCTGAAGGAAGTGAGAGGGCGAGCTGTGCAGGCGTCTGGGGAAGCACTTTGTTGACAGTGAAAACCGGAAGTCTTGGAAAACTGCTCTGGATGCAACCTTTTATTCAGGCTACGGGTGGGCTGACTCTCTAGAAAGGTAGTAAAATAGAAAGAGACTAGATGAGGGACTTAAAAGATCTGAAGTCTGCTTTTTTACTTATTGCCGCAAACATGTTGAACAACCAAAATAACGATCATGAGATCAGTACTTTCACTATATCTGACTTGGGTTAAATGGCATTTGAGCAAAAATAGTCACAGAATTTTGCACAAACTAAGGACCTGGATTGTCCAAGACATAGAGTCTACTCAGTCTTTCTGAAACACAATTAGGCACTGATGATTTTAACAGAGTGGGGGCTGCAAGAGGACTGTACCACCTTTCCTAAATTTAGAAACTGCTTTTAGAGAAAAAAGAAGGGTCTTAGGTGATTTTTCTTCTCTTCTTCCAGGTATTTTGGAACATCGGGATAGTGGAGAGGTTGTGGTTGGAGATGGCAGCTTTCTCTTCAGTCTGGAGAAGAGGGGCTATGTGAAGGCTGGGCTCTGGACTCCAGAAGCAGTAGCAGAGTGCCCTAATGCAGGTTGGTGCCAGCATTGCCACAGAGGGTTTATCTGGGTGACGTTTTGCTTAAATCTGACTGAAAGTAAGGAATAGCGAGTGTTTTCTAAGGACTGTTTCATTTGCCAAAATGTCCAAGATGTCAAGACAGTGACAGTACATGTGTCAAACCAAATAGAAGAAAATGACCTCTCTCTCTCCCCATCCTTCCTCCCCCTTACACATACATACACACACACACACACACACACACACACACTTGCATATTCACATATAGGGGGTACTAAAATGTACATCTTAATATTTGTTCCATGAATATGTCCCTCTTGTATACTAAAGAGTTTCCTTAACATAGCAAAATTGTTACTGCTTCAGATGCACCTTTCTTGCTAATTTGCATACAATATTAAAACAGTATGTTTGGTAGGGATGATTAATGGTGGTAATCACCAGCTTAGCATAGACAGTAGACAGCAAGGTTCTGTTGGGGGAACGGAAGGAGCAAAGAAATAAACACAGTTTTATCTCATCCTCCTGGCTGAAAAAAAAGAGTTAGAGGTAGAAACTGTAATTGGATTGGTTAGTAACATCAAATTAGAACTTAAATTCTCTTTTTGCTCTTTTTTGTATTTGTTCTCCTAAATTAAGAGTGGAAAATAAGGCCAAAGAAGAAAGGGGTGAAACAGGATACAAGCTGGGAATGGAACTTCTGATTTGCTCTGATTTTATTCATAGATGCACAGTGTATCAGACAAACGTGGGGTCATGTCTTGGTCCTTCTGATCAGCTGAGTGGCCGTGAGCAAGTCATTTGAACTCTGAGAATCAGTTTCTTCATCTGTCACATGGGCGCATGACAGGAGCTGGTTGTGAGGACTCGCAAGTTAACCCACGTGAAATGCCCCGCATATCATGAGTACCCGATGGCCCTGGTTATTGTTTCATCAGACACCCAGTTAGATGGTAGGGCAAAGTTCTGTCTCTCTAGTACCTAGCAGGAAGTTTTCATCTGGCCCAAGAAGAACGTGTTCTTAATTTTAGAAGATCTTTTTTGCTAAACCAGGAAGAAAGTTGAAATAGCAAGGATAAAGATTGAGGTGGGGGTGCGGGGAGATGAAGAGAGAGAGGACGGGTTTTATGATGGGCCAAGGAAAGCTCCCTGACTGCGTCTACCCAGCTGCTTGCCGTTAAATCCATTAGATGGGGCGCCACCCACATACGGTCTGCCCACTGTGAGAACGCCCTCGTGCTTCTTGGGGGGCTCCCCAGTGCCGACTGTAAGTAGACCAGCTACATCCTTCGTGACACTGGCAAATGAATAAACCCTCTCTAGACCAAGAGACCCAAGGGACAGCTGGCCACCCAGGCCTTAATACCTGCACGTGACCACACCAGGCGACGCAGCCCATCAGCAGGTCAATACGAGGCTACTCTAAACAGCCCCCACTTCATGGGGTCTCTGCCTTGTCCTGTCCCTGAATTTTACTGACCTGAATCGGAATTTCTTTACAAGTATTAGGTTTGGAGTTGTGTATGATTGAAAGAGATGTGGGTGGGTAAGCTGCTGCTGAAAATGATAGCTTCTGTGACTTTTCATTTTTTTAATTTCAGTGAAAAAAACAACTCCTTCGTAGTCGGTCACCTTCACATGGAACTCTTGAGAGTGGGATCAAATGTTATGCAGACTTTCACCTTTTCTGCCAGTGAAGAAAATATGGACCGTCAGGTAAACTGTAATGTGGAAGGTGGGTGGTGGGGGAGGGAGCCAGGGCTCGTCTACAATAAAACCACCTCTTTTGGGGCATCCATGGAACTGACCCGATGTGTTACTACACTTCATTACAGACTCCGCCACATAAAATGTTTATTAAGTAATTCATCATTATGTAAACATACACGTGCTAAATAAACGAGCTTTTTCTGTCTCTTTATCTAGGGGAGGGAGAGAGGATAGAATTGGGAGAAAAGAGGCCATTGGAAGGGCATGGCCGTCCTTCTGTGCTATTTTCTTATAGAGAAAGAACACTTTATAGAGGCTCTTTTTACTTTCTCATTTCACTTTCTTCTCTTCTGACTTCTCCATCTGGAGACAGGGTGGGCCTAGGGAACCCAGCACTGGCCTAGGAAGGAGAATGGGGTTTAATACCCAACTTTGCCACCTACCTGCTATGTAACTTTGTGCAAGACACTTAACTGCATGAAGCAGGGATTTTCTCTGCAAAATGGAGATAACCTATGCTTATATGCATAGAGTTGTTGAGGAAAGCGGATAAGGTGAAGGATATGGAAGTATTGTAAGATACTCTGCAAGTGTAGAGTGTTATTACTTGTAAATATTAATGTCCATTTATTCATTCAACCAACCAACGTTTAATGAATACCTGCTAAGTCCGTGCTCTGTGGCAGATACAAAGATGATCCAAAGGCATAGACCCTGTTCTGAAGTGGCTCACAGGTAAAGGGTGGGAGACGAACAAATGAGCATTTACTAATGTCCAGTGTGGTCAGCACAATAACGGAAATGCAAGCTCCCTGGTGGTAGAGGACACGGTACCCAACTCTGCTGGTCTTCTCGAATTGCAGTTTAAACCAGTGACTTGTACTCATCCTGCTTGCTCATTACCCCCTCTGTTATCTATTAAAGTTCACCTTTAAAATGCCAGGCTCACCATTGGAGCTCTTGCTGTCCAGCCTCAGTGGGAAGCTGTCAACTTCGCTGCCTGTGACCTTGCCAGAGAAGTAGCCGGCAAAGGTGATGCTTTGATAGCGGGGGAGGGGGGGGTCTGCCAGACATCATTGTACAAACACTCCAAGGATGAAGCAAGGATTAAAACTTTTTGACTCCAGCTAGAGATTTTTGCCAGGAAAAACGTGGCTTTCTTGATCACAGAGGTAAGCCTAGAGTCACACGAAAGGATCACTGTATTTTGGCAAAACTGCGTAGCCTTCAACTTTCGTGAGGGTTTTGGACTGTCGCGTGCCCTTGCTTCCTCTGTGTAGATGGTCGAAGGCTTGTGTGAATGCACTGTGGTCAAGGCAGCACCTTCTTGCTTGAAGGCCAGCTTCTCAGCGAAGCCAAAGGACAGGCTGAGAAGGGCCTCGCTGCAGCCGTTGGTTTCCCTCTGGGTGGCTGCAGCAGCTGATTCCTGCGGGTCCTACAACATGGCGTGAGAGGAAGGGGACAGCGATTCTGTCCTGTGGGTGGGCAGGGCTGGAAGGAGCTGTGTGGTGAGAGGCTGTGAGGGAGCAAAGCCCGGAGGGCAGGCAGCTGCTTGGGCTCATCCAGGCCTCACCGATGATAGCGTTCAGGCCAGGGGGCAGTTTCCTTGCCCGCCTTCGCCCACACCTTGCTCACTCCCATCTCTCTGTTTCACTAAAGCTGTAACATGTGAGTGAGTGGTATTGTGAAGTTAGAATCCATAAGTATTGTCACTGACTGGACATGAAGGCCCAGAATATTCTCTTCCTGGGTATGGAGAAAAGGGAACCCTCCTACACTGTTGGTAGGAATGTAAATTGGTGCAGCCACTGTGGAAAACAGCATGGAGATTTGTTTAAAAACTATAAATGGACTTACATTACGATCTAGCAATCCCACTCCTGGGGATATATCTGGAGGAAACTCTAATTTGACAAGATAATTGCACCCCATGCTCATAGCAGCACTATTTACATAGCTAAGACATGAAAGGAAACTAAATGTCTATTGACAGATGAATGAATAAAGATATGGTATATTTATACAATGGAATACTTCTCAGCCATAAAAAAGAATGAGATAATGCCACTTGCAGCAACATGGATGGACATGGAGATTATCATATCAAGTGAAGTAAGTTAGACAGAGAAAGACAAATACCACATGATATCATTTATACGTGGAATATTCAAAAAAATGACATAAGTGAACTTATTTACAAAACAGAAACAAACTCACATAGAAAACAAACTTATGTATATACATGTATAATTGAATCACTATGCTATACACCAGAAACTAATACAATATTGTAAATTAACTACACTTTGACTAAAAAAAAGAAGAAAAAAAGAATATTCTCTTCCTTCCATGTCCAGAATTTAAAAAGCCCTCATTCCCTATTTCCCATCACAGTTGCTACCTTCTGGAATCAAGCCCTCAACCCAGGTCTTTGCCCCCAAAAAGGACAATAACCTCCCGACTGCTAGCTCCCCAATCACTTCATTGAACCCACTGAAAACCTTGCTTCGTCAACCTTCCCAAGGCTCAGGGCCACCCCAGCCTGGCTAACCCACCAGGGAAAAATCATCTGCAGGAACAAGCACAAACGCCAGCCTATGTGATCTCCAGATGGATGAGAACAGAAGTTTGTTTTTTAAGAACCTCTCTTTTGATTTTCTCCGCCAGTCCTCACACACTGCTTCTGCAGAATCTGTTTCTAAGTCAAGAAGGAAGAAATGGGAAAATGTCTGTTGGCTTTTCTCCACTTAAATTAAGGTCAGCTTTTCAGTTGTGGTGCTTAAGGGAGCCGCTGGGAAGCTTACCCCTGCAGATGGCCTGGGCTTACCAGACACAGAGGCCTGTCCACCATCCACAGAGATGCCCGGTACCTATCGCTCCCCTTCCTGTGCCCCACGGTTTTCATCTGCGGAAATAATCAAATTTTCCTTCCTACTTTCTGGACCACTTATGAATATCCAACTAGAAGCGAATATAAAAGCACTTAGAAGTGTAAAGCATGATAAACTATTATCATCCTGCAGAGATTGCCCCAGTTTCATAAAGAAGGAGTTCAAAATTTATTAGTAAAACTCCTGTTCCTTCAAAACTACAATTTTTAAATACTCAGTTACATTAAAGCCTTTTTAGTCTGAGCTCTGAATGAAAAAATATATATTATTGGTAGAAGAATTAAAAGATTGACTTAGAAACGTATTCTTCAGTCCGTCTGATAGAGACATGTTCCTTAGTACGATTTATCACACACATGCAAAATTTGCATTCTACCTTCCAAAATCAGCTTTATGTTTGGACCAATAGAAAAAAAATAAAATTTCTCTTAATATTTTGAACACGCTGAAGAAGCTGTGTGGGCTGTGGAAGTCTTAAAAGAATCCAGAAAACCCGTGGCAGCCACCATGTGCATAGGCCCAAAGGGAGATGCACAGGGTGTAACACCTGGACAGTGTGCTGTGGAACTGGTGAAGGCAGGTAATTTGGACCCATGATGTGAGAAGCAGTTCAGTTATTGTCTATGTATGAAATTTAACAGCGTTTTTTAATATCATGAGAGCAGTTTGGAAATAAAAGCATTAACTGGAATCGGTCTCTTTATCTGTAACATTGGGAAGTGGAAGAGGGTAGCTAATCTCTAAGCACCTTCCAACTATTAGAAAAGAAAATTTAAAAAAACAAGTGAATCAATTGTGAAACAAGTAAATAGATTTACTTCTTGGACTAGGGGTTTCGATCCTTGGCATGAATTGTAGATTTGGGCCCAGGACCAGCCTGAAGACCATGAGGCTCATGAAGGAAGGCCTGCAGGCTGCAGGGTTGAAAGTGCACCTGATGGTGCAGCCCTGGGGTTTCACACGCCTTACTGTGGCCAAGTAAGGTTTATGGATCTCCCAGAATAGCCCTTTGGTAAGCTCAGGTGCACGTTAGAGTCCTTGTGATTTCTTGTTGTGACAAAATGGACATGGCTATAATGAACGACAAGACAGACCTAAAATACGAGGCTACCTAAGACAAAGACACTGAATGTTAACCAAAAGTGAGCTATCTGAAGAACCCACCCTCTAAAATGAATAGTTTTTTAATTGAAAAAATAACACCCATCAGAACATCGATCCTTTGAAAACCAAGATGGTAACAGGAGTGCTCTAACTACTGTATTACAGGACTGGAGCCCAGAGTTGCAACCAGATGGGATATTCAAAAATATGCCAGAGAGGCCTGCAACCTGGGGGTCAGGTACATAGGCGGGTGCTGCGGATTTGAGCCCTACCACATCAGGGCGATGGCAGAGGAGCTGGCCCCGGAAAGGGGATTTTTGCCACCAGCTTCAGAAAAACATGGCAGCTGGGGAAGTGGTCTCAGTATGCACATCAAACCTTGAATTAGAGCCAGGTAGGAATTTTTAAATTAACATTACTATTTTCCTCTCATCTCTTTTATTTATTGTTGTAAATAATTATTCATGCACATGGTGATAAAAATTCAAAGCACAGAAGTGTGTAAAATGACAATAGAAGCCATCCTGTTCCTGACACCAGTCCTACTTCTAAGGGTCACCTGTTTGCCATTTGTTTTGAAGTCTTATTTGTTTATTTTTGTTTTATCAATTTTAAGTGGTAATTACTCTTTATGAAAGTTAAGAAATTTAAATCACATAATCTTCCCTTTCCCTGTTCACTTTCCCCCAATTCTGACTTATTACATTTTTGCTTGTTCTGTTGGTTATCTTTATAAGTTTGAATTTCATATTTAACCAGTTATTTTTAAATTCATCAATATGAGGCAGTATCTCTTGATTCCACTCTCTGTAAAATAAGAATTGACTCTGCTTCCCTCTACCTTTCCTCCCTCATCTACCTCATGGCTTCTTGAAGGTATACCATTTCTTTCAAATCATCAAGGTTTATAACCATTGTGTTCTGCTTTGTAATTATAATTAAGTTTTCCAAGCTTTGTCTGTAGATTTATTATAAAGATATAAAGCTAGTAAATAACATTTACAGAATTATTATAATTGTCATGTTAAAAAAGGAGGGCTTATAAAATATAATCAGAATACAACTTTATTTTTGTTTCCTTTTGTCTCTTTAAACCTGCTCCATGGGTGAACTCTTTTCCTGTGTTCCTGTTTGAAAACACTGGCATGCCCCAGAACTTCTTTGAATAATCTTAGGCGATAGAAAGCCCATGACCATTTGACTTAGCAAACACAGTGTTAACACAGTAATTAAGCATTTAGTTTACTGGAACAAGTTTCAAACTTAAAACCTGGAACAAGTTTCAAACTTAAAACTTCTCCTCTTTTCCAGCAGAAGCTTTTAATATGCAGGAAACCAGGGAAGGCCAGTCTGAGCCTTCTCCCTCTCTGTCTTATGCTTCCAACCTTCCCTTCTCATCTTGTTCATCATGGTTTCTGACCTCTTCAGATTCAAAGACCAGCAGCCTAAAAGGAAGGCCACGTTCTCTGGGCCTGGCAGATCTTCATGAGTGCGTTTATGGTTCTTTAGACGCTTCCCCCTGGAAACTTCTGTGTATATTTCTCATGTCACAGGCATTGCATTTTTCTCTGAAAACTTTTTCTCTGCTTCACCCTCAGATCCTGATTTTTATCAGCAGGCCACTACAAATATGCTCCCATCCTATTTTGGGAGTCTCATTTTCCTTCCTGGTGACTCTTTTGGGTTTGATTTTAAATACCCCTAGGCTGGCCCTGCCTCTCCAAGAAGGCTTAAACTGCCTAGAAGACTTTTCATCCTTCTTCTATTGAGACAAACTTGGAGAGTGTGGTCTGATCTCAATTTAACCACATCCTCTTCACTCACCAGCCAACCTGCTGGTCTCTGGGATCTAGATTTTCCAGTGTAGAGTCAGGTGAGTCATCTGTCTGGTTCTTAGCCTACCTACTTTGGAATTTCTGCAGAGTTTCTGTCTTGCTTTAATATCTGATATCTACCATATCTTGGTGCCTCCAGTAAAATTTTCAATCTAATATCCTGGTCATGATTTTCTAAACATCATTCACTGCAGAACCAAGCGGTAAGCATGAAACTAAGGAGAAAGAGAAATAAACCTATTTTTACAAAACTTGAGCCCTTGTAGGAGAATGTTCCAAGCATCAAGGTCAAATTGGTTCTCTTTTCTTACATTTCATCCGTAGTCCAAATTCAGGCCATATATTAATTTGTTTCCTCCTTGGACTGTGTCTTTCTTTGTACAGCATTTGGTTTTCTAGGAATTTCTAATTAACTTTCTTTTTTATTGTTGAAAGAAGAATAAAAGGCCTTCACCTTCTCGAAGATCTTCCAATATCTAAATTATGCTATTTGTTATAATCAATCACTTTATTTATGGAAGACATTTTTCTGGGGTCCCCTTGAATTTCTCTATCTCTTTCTTTCTCATCTGTCAATACAATGCCACACCTTTTCCATCTTCTAGAAACCAGCCACAATCTCGGCTATCTTCTTGAATTAGTGCTGCTATGTCTTCAATCCATTTTGTACTTTATTTCAGTGGGACTTAGAACAGTCTTTATTTTTGCACTGGAACAACTTTCCTAATGTAAATTAATTTGGATTGTAAAAGTAGGCAAGAAATCATTTAGGCAAACACTTCTTCTGGGAGATAGGGATATTTATTCAAGATGTTTTTTATAGGTCTCAGGCTTAGAAAAAAAGTACTAAATAGAAATATAATTAAAAGGTGAGGAAATCATACTTTGGTGATGATTAAAATAGTTCATATAAGTGAGAAATGGCTTATTTTAATAAGCATTGTCTAGGGATCCTTAAAACTCATGAACAATTAAAGATGAAACATTATTCTGTAGAATAAAGCCAGAAATTTCTTACACCCTAAACTCCCAAACATACTGATGTTCGCAAAAATTTGTGATTACACAGAAACCTGTAGACACCCTAGATTTCTGACATTTTCATCATCCAAAAATATTGATTTATTCATTATTTCATTAAGTAAAGTGGAAAAAACTGTAAAACACACACACACACACACACACACACACACATATATATATATATAAATATATATATATTTAACATAGAGGTCTGTGACCAGGAAACTTTGTACTCTTCTTTGTCTAAAAACAAGGAATGAATACTGACAAAGTAATTTGTATTCTGTCCTTAGTTACTTTTTGAAGAATTTTACTTTCTCAGTACATTAAAAACTGGCTTCATATACTTGCCATTATGTTATTAAGTAGACCTAGAAGGACCCCGCTATAGAAATTTCAGAATGAATGTAATTCACAGAACCATGTAAATTCAAACACATTGCCTTTTTCTGAAAGGCAGTGTGAAACCCAGTGACTATTATTGAGGACAGAAATGTAGACTCCTGGCATTAATGGATATGGGCATATTTTTTGTCTGTATGTTGAGACTTAAATTCAACTTGAGCCTGATCATCCACTAAAATTATGTGTATTTAGCAAATATGTATATAACATATTGGGCTTATAAAATAGGTATGAATCTTTCCATTAATCAACTATGTATTTTTTAAAACGCAGGGCTAGAAGACAGTATTGGGAGAATCTGCTGCCAGCTTCAGGCAGACCTTTCTGTCCTTCACTGTTAAAGCCAGACGTCTAAGGAATAGTGAAAGAAAACACTGAAATAACAGAACGGAAAGCAATCACCCTCAAGTCCCACTTGGAACCCTTCCTTGCCTCTATCCTCATGCCACCTTGATGTCTCCAGCTGCTGAACAGATAATATGTTGTCAATTTAAAACAGGATGCGTACTGCACTCCTGCTGTGGTTGAGTGCCAAGCAGGATGCTGGAGGAGATGCAAAGATGATGAGAAAGGCTCCTGGTCCTCCAGATACTTCCTGTGCAGTAATGCTGCAGGGCATGCCTTGAAGGTCATCATGAATAGCAAAACTTGTCTTGTAGAGTGAGTGTGAGATTTAAAAATAACCAGAAGTCACTGAGCACCAAACCCAGTAATTAATTCAGGTGACTAAACTAGGCATAGGAGGAAGATGGGGTGGCATTCTAAATTAAAACTAAATCAGTGAGTCTGCCTTTCTTAAATGATTTCTATAATGACTCCAAAGGCAATCCCAAATGAAAAGAAGCAAAAAATATTCTGAGCAATGGCAGGATTATTGAAGTAATCATATAACCATCCAAAGTGATTGCTTTCAAAAAACAGTTTTACTTAAAGATGTTAAGTCCTAGAATTTTTTTAATGTGTCTCTATAATCACAAATAGCTAGATTACAAACTACTTAAGGACAAGAATCATGCAATATGCTTCATATATTTTTCTTTAAAGTGTTTAGCATTGTGCCAAGCATACTAATAGATACTCCATAAAATACTTACTGTTCATTGTTTAAAATAAATAAAAATAGATAAACAGTTTTAGGAGAACGTTTTTAAACTTAGAGTTCAAATCTATCTTGGTCTAACATTTTCTTGATTTACATTGAGCTATTTGCTATGTGCTGATTTCTCCCTGTTTTTTCAAAAATACTGTTATCAATTTGCAACAATTAATAAAATTAAAAATAATTTACCTTTTATAGTGTTTGAGTATTTGAAAATTTTTGACCATTCTTTGGAATAATAACAAACGTGTATTACTTATCATATTCCAGGCTCTTTCTTCTCTTTCTCTTTCCCCTCTCTCCCTCTCTTTCTCCCCTCTCTATTATATATTTATATATATAAACATATATATATATATATATATATGACAAAAGCCATCCTTGATTTATGAAACACATAGTTTTCATTTTGAGTGTAGTACACTCAACTTGGAGCAGAATGTTGATGAGATAGAAGTTGGTAAAACTTCCCAGGGACAAAGAGGTAACCAATAAAGTCTTTAAAAAACAGATTTCCTACACTGGGAGATTCAAAATTTATATAGTAATGGGATCACAGCTTAGGTAATAATAAAAACATATTTAAGAAAAGTATTTCAATCATGTGGTTCTAACTCCAATTTAATAATTGTGCCCCCAAATACAGTAAAGAAAGTATACTTAATACCCTACTCTTGTTACCATGGTCTGACAATACTAGACAACACATTACCATTAAAAATATTGGAAAAGTGAAGACAAAATTGTATTTTATGCAGATGAAATAGTTACATTGCTAGAAATCTCAAGAAGGTCATCTAGAAAGCTCTTACAAATAATAGGAAAATTCAGTAAAGTGGCTGGTTAAAAATTTTATATATCAAAAAAATTTTTATATACAAAATCACTACCTTTTTCTATACATGACAACTATTTTGAAAGTATAGTAGAAGATCTATTTTACATTTTCAGCAAAATGACTAACTGTCTAGGAATAATATTAACAAGAAAGGTATAAGCTGTTGAAGTCAATTTAAGGGTGCAAACTAAGATGAATACATCTATACACATACTCATAAAGAAAAAAGACAGTACTTTTAGAAGCAAAGCTGTTCTAAACTGATTAACAAATGCAATATAATCCCAGTGGAAAAAAATCATCAAGACTGAGGGGAAATACACATGCAAACTCTCAAGTTCGTATTGCAAGGGTGGAGGGCGGGACTACAGGAGCAATGGGAAAATTAGAAACAGAGGTAGTGAGGAAAGTGTGGCCTTACCATATGATCACTACACATAACTCAGTAATTAAAGTTACCAGATGCTTGCATAAAAAAAGATCAATTATACACATATATAAAACATATATGTTAATGTCTGATAAAGGGGTATTTCAGGTCTGAGGAAAAGCTGGATTGTTTAATGATGTTGGACATTTCATCACATCTGGGAAGAAAAAGTTGGATCTCTTAGAACAAGTTCAGAGATAATAAAAATTTTAAACATAAATCCATAAAAGTAAAAACTCACACATTTCACCATATAAGAAAATTTTAAATGTATGCATTAATTAAACAAAGGTGAAGTCAAACAGGAATAATGTGTAATGAGGGTTAGTAACCACTTCTCCAGTAAGGGAGTCTTGAGCTGCCCTAGTTCAACCGTCCTCCCACCTATGCAGATGTTGTGAGGGGGACTCACCCATGTGGTTAGCATTCAGAATGCCACTCCACCCCATTTTATTGGCTTACAGGTGTTGTGAGAGGGAGATGTACCCAGCTAGGGACCAAGCAAAGCCTTGGGTCAGTACTAGCATCACCACCCTTGCCTGCTGGTCACTCTTCCGCTGTAGGATATGATGCAGTGAGTCAGGGACCCCAGGAAGCACAGTGTACCTCGTAAGGATGATGTGAGGTGCTGCTGGCACTGACAGTGAGTTCAGGCAGCTTCTGAACATTCTGAACACATTATCTCTTAATGTGGTAACTTGCCTCTTCCCTTCCAAGAAAGAAGATCCTCTCCCTTCTTAGGAAACTTCTGCGGATCAACTCTCAGCTCCTGTGTCCCCTACATGCACCTCATACTATTTCCTCCCCACCTCCCCTAGTGTCCATAACCATTTAAGTTTTTCTGAAAAACCTCTTTCCCTCTTGTTCTGTTGTTATAAAAAAAAAAAGTTCGATATACTAAGGGAGACTTTCCTTAATCTACAGGAAATAGATTTCCTTAACCTATTAAGTGTAAGAAAAGATATGCAACATATTCAAAATTAGATAAATATACATGAAGACAAGATACCTTTCTTCACCTGTCATTGACAAAACCCAAAAAAACTGATAATACCTTATGCTGACAACGGTGTAAGGGAAAAGACACTATCACACATATGCTTTTTATAGACGTGGAAACTTGTACAACTATTTAGAAAGCAATCTGGCCTTATCTATTCCAATTTAGAATTCACACACCCTGAGACAAACAATGTTTCTAGGAATGCAACCTACAATTATTTTCATATTTGTACAAAAGCCTATGTCTGGAAGCTACCAAAATATCCATCTGTGAAATACTAGTTAAGTGAACTAGTTATGGAACATCTACAGGATGATAAGTCATGGAGCCATTAAAACAATACATGCATGGGCAGAGGGTATAGCTCAGTGGTAGAGCGCATGCCTAGCAAGCACGAGGTCCTGGGTTCAATCCCCAGTGCCTCCATTAAAATAAATAAATAAAGCTAATTACCCCCACCCCAAAAAAAGAATATGTGAGATTAACATGTACTGAAATGGGAGGATCTCCCAGATGTGTTCTAAATGAAAATATGCTCCTGTCATGTATGCAGAGTATTTCTGAGAGGAACGCTTCCCTTTTAAAAGAGGGAGACTAGTGATTGAAAGTATGGTGTAGAAGGATGACTTCCTTTTCTCTGATATCTTTTTTAGTGTCTAAATGTGTTAATGTGGGTAGTTATTACTTTTTCAATGAAATACAAAATTTTTTAATTTTTATAGTTTTAAAATTTTTATTGAGATTTCTGATAAAAGTGGTAAAATCAGGTATCATGAATTTCCTGCTGTGATACAGAATGAGAAACACTCCATCACCAATGATGCATCAGCCAGAAGTGCCTGAGTGGAATCCAATCTAGCCTTTGGATTTCACTCCCAATTTAAGGGAAATACAGGCAATCTAGGAACAAGGCAAACAATGCCACAAGGAAGCAATCAGGTGAATCATATATTCTATAGGGCAGCTGGCCTGCCATTCCACAGGTCAGTGTGTTGGGAGTGCTCACCTGTATAGAACAAACCCATGCAATGCGTGGTCCTAGATTGGATCCTACTTTTGACAAACCTATTATAAAAGACCTTTGGGGTGCAAATTGGGAACATTTAATATGGACTGAGTATTAAGGAATCAGAATTAATCTTGTCCTTTTGAGAGATGCATACTAAAATATTAAATTACTACTTGTAATTTACATTAAATATTTTAACATAAAAATGAGGATTTTTCTTAAAAAATGAAATTTCTACAGGCTCTGATTTGGTATAGGGAAATTAAGGAAAAAGTAATTGTCTGTAAAAAGTTAAAGATCAGTGAAACTAAGGAAAACAAGCTTGAACGAGCTCTTTCCAGCCCCACAGCAGATGTTTACTGTACTAGGGAGTTTCGAGAAGAGGAGATGGCCCTCTGATAAACCCTGCTGTGCTGTGTAGAATCAGCAACACAGACCTGCAAACAGCTGGCATGGAAACCATCAGAAGGGATCGAAGAGATCTGCTGAAACTAAGGGGTGAAGTTCAGCTGGGAAAACAACTCCTGCTTCCCCACAAACACAGCCACAACTTGATAACCTTAAGCAAAATCGTAAGCAAAGTTAAGCAACACACTTTGGCTGTACAGCCAGCTGCCTTGAAGATAAGCAGATATCTTGTTTAATCAATAACGAAAACGCTGAAAAGGATTTCAGAAGGGTGCAATTTTGCCTGACATCAGAGTTATTTTAATAGAGTCTTAATCAAGTAGATGGGCCAGGCTGACTAAGGCATTGCTGGTACTCTGGAAATCACATTTTATTTCATCCTGCTATTTGGTCTGAATAGAAAGCAGAGAAGAGGAGGGAGAGGGGAATAAAAGTTGTATTTTGTATGATATGGATTCATACGAGCTGACCTCTTCAAAATAGTGAAATTGGAGAAGCATCTTTCCATGTGATGGTGACTACTCACCTTGAAGGTTCTGTGCTTTCATACTAACTATACTCACTCATTCATGCATTTATTCACTCACTCATTCTTACACTATCCAAATAACATATTCCTAGTGCTTGACCTCTGACAGTCACTGCACCCCTCCCATAGCACCCCACATTCATCTTGAATAACTATAACCAAGTTTTAATATGCTGTTGAGAACTCCTACTTGCTTGCCTGTTTCCTACTAGGAGGGGCAGAAAAAATATCTTGTTAATCGTTGTGTTCCCAGTACCTGGCACATTATAGAATTCAAAAAAAGATGTGCTGAATGAATGAATGAGTGGGTGAATGAATGTACCAACCATGCTAGGATCAAGGGATGCAAAGATGAATAAGCCACTGTCTTATGCTGCCTTGTTGAATTCCCTTGCCAGAAATATTTTGAGGAATCAATGCATGATGTATGACAGACTAGCATCAGATTGTGTTGGCTTAAAGAAGCTGAAGCTGGGGAAACTGGTGCAGGAAAGTCCATCAGGAAGTGGAATGGCAGGCTGCACAAGCAGAATATAGGTCCTGGCTGGAGGCGATGGAGGGAGCATTAGGGTAGAGGAGGGGGTTCACACTGAGCACTGGAAAACAGTGCAACTTTAAAAATGCATCATAGAATATACAATGGAGAAAAGACAGTCTCTTCAACAAGGGCTGTTGGGAAAGTTGGACAGCTGCATGTAAATCAGTGAAGTTAGAACACTCCTTCACATCATACACAAAAATTAACTCAAGATGGCTTAAAGACTTAAATATAAGACATGATGCCATAAAACTCCTAGAAGAGAACATAGGCAAAATATTCTCAGACATGAATTATAGCAATGTTTTCCTAGGTCAGCCTCCCAAGACAATAGAAACAAAGGCAAAAAAATCCAAATAGGACCTAATCAAACTTACAAGCTTTTGAATAGCAAAGGAAACCATAAACAAAATGAAAATGCACAGAATAGGAGAAAAT